TACACAAAAGGGATTAGCAAATTATAACACCTATGATTAAGATCAAGGGCTAGAAAAGCGATTACCACTTTAAGCTTTTGTTGTGTAATTGTTTAATCTGTTCTTGTACTTGAAACTCAGCTTTCTTGGAGATCTTTGTATAGTGTAATTTTTTAATGTCATTGTTGGGTAACCAAATGCAAGGGACATTCTCTTAAGACTTGTGAATCCTAGTCAGTGGTCCTGTCTCCTTGATTCAACCCAAAGCGTGCACTCGAAAATCACCCCAACCTTATTGCTTAGCACATGTTCTGGTTCTTTTCCTTTGGTCCTTTGGGCAGGTGGGTTTTTTAATTTGCACAAAACCCTTCCTTTTATCAAGAAAACTTGGCTATCCCAAGGATTAATTATGCAAGTAATGATATTCTTCATGATGACGCTGATCGGTTATTCTGGTGATAATGATGTGTGTTTATGAATTTTACGATTTTGGCACCTTTGCAAATGGCTTATAATAGTTTGGATTGTAGGTAAAGTCCTAAACCCAATGGTCAGCACCGTAATTTTATAGTTGCTTTTTAGTTACATAGAGAAAATTTGTGTATGCATTCTGTTATGCACTGCGCTGGATTCTCACAAGTTTTGTTTGAAGATGCTAAATGTGTTTTTCGTGGTTATTGAACAACAAGCCGCAGTGATTCATGTGCCTTTTTATTCAATAAACACGGAAATACCTTTAACAACCACCTATGAAGGTGCGGATAAGTCGTGGGCAAAAATTAAACTTCGATTTAAAATTACAAATTCTAGATTCATACCACTAATGACGTTGTCCTTGATGATGGTCATATGATAGGGACCGTGTGATGTAAATTTGACTATAAGGAAGGGAAAATTCGAAAAGAGAAAAGGAAGTTCCAATAAAGAAGATAAAGAGCTGGTAATGCATTTTGTCATGGATATGAGTTGCGGGTCTTGTTTGGCTTCATCTTGCAAGGAATGGAAAAAATTTGGTTTTGACTGGATAAAAAGATGTTATTGTGGTTGCAGATATTTAGCTAAATTTAGACTTTCTGACGTTCTCAAAGGAACCCCGATCCCTGGCTTTGGGATTTGTTTTTCGGTTGCTCGAGCTCATATAACCCACTACTAGCAAGTTAGTAACATTGATCATGTCCAACTAAACCAATATATTGTTAAATTTTAAAGGGATGGACCTACGACTCACTACTAGCAACATTGATCATATCTGTGTTAGCAGGTGTGGCCTTTTATACAAAACGTCTCGATATTATTAGTAGCGGAAGCTAGTAGTGTAGCCATTCATTACATGAGGTATTTGATTTTACTAAGTTTCCGATGTGGGACTTCAATATTCTTCAACATTTGCGTGTGTTGAAAATTTGTTTGAACTCATATTTTGTAGGCTTTCACACAAGTGGGAGATATCGACTTTGTTAAACAGTTGTGATGTAGCTGGTTAAAGAAACAATGACTAAAGATAGATTGAACAATTAAGTTGCAGGAACTTTGTAAGGGAAGAACAAATTAGTTTCACAAAACAAAAAGAACATTTAGAGGACTAGTTGAGGAAATTTACATGTATATGAATGCTTTCTTCAACACACAAGATGAAATTTTTCAACACAATTAATTTTAATAGAGAAGTACTGCTACCTAGATAAGGGTCTCATCTCAGTGGTGAATTTTACTGGCCTCATTTCAATTGAATCTTCTGATTCAGCGTCGCGATTTTTTCTAGCCAACTCTATAGCCAGGCATTCCTTCAGCTCCATCACAACCTGACTCATGGGTGGCCTTCTGTTGGAACTTGAAGATACACAAGCCAAGGCTATTTCAACAGCTTTCCAGACAGAGTTGCTGTTAAAGTTTCCATTTTTTAGCCATGGATCAACTATACTTTTGATGTCCCCTATCTCAACCATGAAACTAACCCATTGACAAAGGGGCATTTCCTCGTGTATCATTGATGAAACAGGTCGACTGTGATAATCTCCAACAGCACAATCCCAAAGCTATATACACATCACTTTTCTCATTTAGAGTGTTTGATAGGTTGTCCCTACAAACCAAACCATGTAACTCAAATCAAGTCTGTGCCTAAGCATCAATTTGTCCTATTTTCTCATTCTTCTGGTTGCTTATGCTTTATTTGATTTAAGTTTTACTTCATTGACAATAATTGGAATTCTAGAGCTGAAGTTTAAACTATAAAAACCGAAAATACTCACTCGGGGTCAAGGTACTCATGAGTCCCATCTTCAGCAGAGAAAATTCTAGATCGGCCGAAGTCAGATAGTTTGGCTTGAAAGTTTTCATTCAACAAGATATTTGTAGATTTCACATCTCTGTGGATTATAGGAGGTTTGCAACAATAGTGAAGATATTCCAATCCTACATTTCAAAATTTAATAAAAAAATATATGGAATATGAAGGGATTGTGAAATTTCTACTTGCTGACCATGCACTGCGTCCATTGCAAATTCGAAGTCTGCCTGCCCAACTGTTATCTGCATGTGCACATAATAAATCAGTCTTTTCCCTTCGTGCTTGTAACTAAGGGAACCTCAACCATGTGGTGATGTTAAAAAATGTGAAGAGTAAGAAGTATCTAGCCTGAAAGAGAATAGATTTCACAGATTGAAAGGGAAAACATTCTGGTGAAACTACTTTGATATTGTTGCAAAAGATCACCAGTGTTAAGAGCATGCTGAGTTTGCCCCTATGCTTTTTTGCGCATGTCCAGATTGTTTTGGGTTGTTGAAGCTGCTTTCTTTGTCGCTAATTAACCTGATTCCAGAAAACTTAAAAAATATCAACTCCAGCCAATGAGACAAACCTGAAAGATGCTGGCGTAAGTTTCTATTGTCCATGTATTCATAGATGATCCCTGTATTGGTTCCATCCTTGAAATATCCGACAAGGCTTATCAAGTTTCTGTGATGAACTCTCATTAGAAGATTAACATGTGAGAAAGAAAATTTGTTATTAAGAGCATATGATATGAGCTCAAGCTTTTTGAACAGTTTTTATATTGCACACCTCTGAAAAGGGTTGGAAGCCTGAAAGGAAAAGGAGTTGCTACCTTCTAATAGCAATTAAGGAGCCAAGATCAAGATGAGGGAATCCGCCTGGAAAACTCCCCTAAAAAGGGTTGGAAGCCTGATGATGACGTTGAGTTAGTAACCCTTGATCCTGACCAGCTAGACAAAGAAGTGCAGATTGGCTCACGCCTGAACCCAAATGAGAAGGATCGAGATGAGGGAATCCGCCCGGAAGACTCCCTTGAAAAGGGTTGGAAGCTTGAGGATGACGTTGAGTTAGTACCCCTTGATCCTGACTAGCCAGACAAAAAGCGTGGATGAGCTGACCACCTTCCTCCAAAACAACAAGGATATGTTCGAATGGTCGCCATTTGACATGCTTGGCATCGACGCAAACTCTTTATTTGCCCTTTTCTTGTTTCGCCACTAGAACAATGTTGGCTAGCCACTATGAATAGGAGACTTATTCGATGAAGCAGGTAGCTAGGAGCTTGTCGATCTCGACTTCAATGATCTCGACTCGCTTGGGAGCGAAATTGCGTCTCTTCTGCATCATTGGCTTGCTGGGGGTTCAACATGGAGCCAGTGAAAAATGATGTTCGGGTCGATACCAGGCATGTTAGATGGCGACCATGAGAACATGTCCTTATTGTTCTGGAAGCAGTTGGTCAACTCCACCTTCTCGTTTTGAGCTTAGACATGAGCCGATCTACGCTTTTTTGTTTGGCTGGTTAGGATCAAAGGGTACTAGGAGCTTGTCGATCTCGGCTTCACTGATCTCGACTTGCTTGAGAGAGAAATTGCGTCTCTTCTGCACCACTGGCTTGCTGGGGGTTCAACATGGAGCTAGTGAAAAATGATGTTCGGGTCGATACCATGCATGTTAGATGGCGACCATGAGAACATGTCCTTATTGTTCTGGAAGAAGTTGGTCAACTCCACCTTCTCGTTTTGAGCTTAGACATGAGCCGATCTGCGTTTTTCTGTTTGGCTGGTTAGGATCAAGGGGTACTAACTCAACGTAATCCTCAGGCTTCCAGCCCTTTTCAGGGGAGTCTTCCAAGTGGATTCCCTCATCTCGATCCTTCTCGTTTGGGTTCAAGCACGAGCCGATCTGCGCTACTTTGTCTGGCTGGTCAAGATCAAAGGATACTAACTCAACGTCATCCTCATGCATCCAACCCTTTTAAGGAGAGTCTTCCGGGTGGATTCCCTTATCTTGATCTTGGATTTTTAATTGCTATTGGAAGGTAGCAACTTCTTTTCCTTTTAGGTTTGCTTGTCCGTCGGGAGCACGATATGCCTCGTCGGTAGCCTGCATCATGGGTATGAAGTGGAACTGCTTGTTCTTCTTGAGCCTTTGGGTTGTGCACCTCCTAGCCATGACTTGGTCACTGTTGATCTGCCTGATTCCGCCCTCAGGGATTGGGTAACAAATTTTCTGGTGTGAAGCAGATGTGATGACTTCAATATTGCTAAACCATGGTTGGCCCAAGATTCATTTGTAGGAGGACCTAATCGATGACTATGATGGTCTACGAGTAGATCACCGGGGGTGAGTGGATGTCAAGATTAATCTTTTCCATAGTGATTTATGTGGCATCGTTGAAGTCGGTGAGCGATCTGGCAAGCTTGTTGATCTTAGGCTCCAATCCTATTTGTTGGATAACAGATAGTTGTAGGATGTTAACTGCGCTGCCCTCGTCCACGTGAACTCGTTCGATCATAGCTTGTTCAATCTAGATGCAGATGACAAGGGCGTCATTATGTAGCAGATCAAGCTCGATCAAATCCTTCATCTGAAAGTCGATGATATGAGTGTCCTCAATGGCTGGATCACCGGTTGTGACTTGAGAGACAAAAGTCGCCTGCTTGATCTTTCTCTTCAAGGCTTAAGCACGATCCGATCTATGCTTTTCTCTTTGGCTTGTCAAGATCAAGGAGAACTAGCCCAACGTCCTCTTCGGGACTCTATCCTTCTTCAGGAGAGACCTCCGAACGGATTCTCTCGGCTTGGTCTTGACTCTTTTATTGCAGTTGTGGAGTAGCTATTCCCTTCCATTTATGGTTTGCTCGATTGTTATGAATGGGATCTGCTTCATTCTTTGCGACAATGCAGTCTTCTTCCCAGAGTGTGTAGCGCTCTACCATCGCAAAGACTTTTGCAATGGTTGGGCTCAAAGTAATGGTCAGCTCACAGTATAGCTATTGAGGACACGATTATTCACGAACTCGAGCTCCTTGTGGACCCAGCCTAGAATAGATACTTTCTTGTGGGCCCAAGCGAACGTGGACATTGGACTGTGGGTCCAGCCTCTGGCCCACATTGGTCCTTAAACCTAACATCGAACAGGTCGACCGACTTAGAGTACGGTTCGCAGATATTTGCGTCTCGTCAGTGAGATCTCGTTCTTTCCCCTGTCCGTTTATCTCTGTTTGACCTGCCTTAGGATATCTCAAACTGCTCACCGGTCTCGTGCGTCCTCCTCTTCTCGTCACGAGATCCAAAGTCAAGGCCTTGATTCAAGTTGATCTGCCTGAGTAGATGCCCAATTAGATTGTTTTGGTCGTCGACCCTTTGTGTGAGCTGATCAACCCATGAGTAAAGGTCCACTAGACTGCGCAGATCGGGTAGAGTGGTGTGAATTGGGTCAAAAAGGCATATGAGCTAGAGCTCCATTGGACGCATATACAGGTGCATACGTCAAGTGTGATTGCAAAAGAGGGAACGGATGGACTTGCTCCAAGATCAGGACGACTTTGAGGTAATCGTGTTGGGAGGTTGTTGGTCTCGGTTGAGGGATCATGCGTCGGGCTGATCGACGGCTCGTGGATCGTATTGACTAGAGAATTGTTGATCGGGTGGACCATGGACTCATAGGTTGGTCACCCAGTCATTTAGTATTTTCCTGATCATTAATGATAAAATGTAATTAGCAGGCATGATAAAAACACAATTATATCCCAACTATAATATCACGTGTGCCTTGATAAAATAATAATATCATTAAATAAAACATGTTTTATAATTCAAGCAATAAAATATTAATGATTAATATTTATTAAGAATATACACTAAATCAAAATAAATATCAAATGCTAATATTTATTAGGAAAGTGCATTAATTCAGAGTTAAATATTAAATATTAATATTATAATTGAAAATTGTTTAAATTAGGAAATAAATGAATGAGAGAGAAAGAACGTCTGGGAGTCAGCCATGGGAGAGTTTTGCAGAACCGTTCGAACCCAGGCGTGGAGCTCAGTCGCCGGCCGTGCAACGACGAGGCTGGGCTCTCCAGCAAACCGAGGAACCCGAGTCTCCTGTTCGTGGTGGCGACGTCGCGAGCCGATGAGCAGGGAGGTAGCTTCGACGGCTCTGGGCATTTCCGGCGGAAACGTCCGACGGCTCGTCGGTCATTTCTCCGGGGGCGGGCTGCATCTTTTCTCCAGGTTTGTGCATACTGACCGGAGGGCGGCGAGTTCGCTGGTGTTGGCGGTGACGCAAGGTGACACCGGGAAGGCCTCCAACGAAGCTTGGCGGCGACCGTCATCTTCTCCAAGGCTTCGTCGGCGAGCTTCCTGCGTCGGGTCATAGACCTTCGCATCGGCGTCCGCAGCTCAGAGGTCTGCGAGTTCGATGGCATGGCTAGTGCGACCATGCGATGGGCGGAGCCGCCGTCCCAAGGATGGCAGCGTCTGGGCTGGTTTTGTCGCGCTCGCGCGTGCTGGCTCTGGCCGCAAACAGTAACCCTGCCAATTTTTTATTTTTTTTGGTTGGACGGAGGGAATAAAAAAAATACAAATTTATAAATAAACCTAATCCTAGACATATATTTATAAAAAAACCCAAACACTATTTAAACATAGAAACATTCCCAAAATCAACCCCAAAGTCAACTTTTTGGGTGTGTTTATAAATGGATTTTGAGTGTGTGTAATGATGAGTTTTGGGTGTGTTTATAAAGTATTTTGAGTGTTGGGTTTTTTTATAATTTCAACCTCCATTTTGGGTGTTTTAGTGAAACTCCCTAAAAAAAAGGCCACGGTGGGTGTCTAGAGAAAATTCCACCGGGGTGTGGTGATTGTTTTCGCTGCGTTTCTAGTGGTGAGGCCTCACACCATGGTGATTTAAGGGTTTCGAATGAAATCAGGGGAAAACGGATTTTCTTTGAATTATGAGATAGGAGTACGGCCAGAGCCTTTTATGTTTATAAGATAGGATTTCTGAAGAGTTTCAGACAAAAGTTTAGAATTACCTCAAGCCTTGGTGTAGCCATGTATTTATAGGAGCCTCGGGAACTAGGATTCTGGAAGAATAATTCCATAGATGGAAATGAATTATTCTTCCTCACTTTAGAGAGATTGATCTAATTAGGGATCGAATAATTCCCAATTAAATCAAATGACTCCCAATTAAGTCAAATAATTTCCAAATTGATTAGCTTAGATATTTTGCTTCCACAATATGTAGGCTGAATACTCAAATTTCGGTTTATTTATATATATAGAATTTATACTTCGATTGAACGATGTCACATGAGGAAATTCTTTTGTGCAAGTTGTTCCCTTGTTGTCTTTGGAAAAGAAAAACAGAAACAGAATCACACACAAAATGTGATGGCATTGATTTTGACTTTTGAAGTGGCAAAAGAATTCGACACAGATTAAAATATTATAGTATCACAGTGCCCTTTTATGATTAAGAAGTACTGATTGATGTGGAAACATTTTCAATTGCCCGAAATAAAATAAGCAGCAAAGGAATTAAGAGGACTAGTTAAGCAAATAAACGGATTCAAGTAGAACCGTTCTTCCAACAATTGACCGAGGAGCGCGCCAATTCTGTCGTACTTAGAGCAACCAGTAAGTTTAATTCTTATATATGCAGACATTATCAGCGTGATCTGATATGAAACTTGTATCTGCATGAACGCTTCTTTAACACACAAGATGAAATTTTCCACACCCCATTATTTTTACAGAGAAGTACTACTACCTAGCTAATGGCCTCATCTCAGTGGTGAATTTCAATGACATCAGTTCATTTGAATCGTTTGAATCAGTATCACGGATCTCCTTGTTTCGATCAAACTCTGCAGCCAAGCACTCTTTCAGCTCTGTCACTACCTGACTCATTGTTGGCCTTTTGGTGGAACTTAAAGATACACAAGCCAAAGCTACTTCAACAGCTTTCCAGGCAGAGTTGCTATTGAAGTTTCCTTCTAGTCTTGAATCGACAATACTTCTAATGTCCCCTTTCTCAACCATGAAACTAACCCATTGACCAATATGAATTTTCTCATGTGTCTTTGATAAAGCAGGTCGGCTTGTGATAATCTCCAACAACACAATCCCAAAGCTATACACATCACTTTTCTCATTTAACATGTTTGATAGGTAGTACCTGCAAACCAAACCATGTAACTCAAGTCATGTGTTTGCTAGGACATCAATTTATTGTATATTTCTTCATTCTTATGGTTTCCTGATTTGATTGGAGTTTTGCTATACTGACAATAATTTGAATTCTATTAGATGAAGTGTAAACTAGGAACCAAAGACTTACTCAGGGTCAAGGTACCCAGGAATTCCGGCAACACGTGTCCATACATGAGTGCCATCATCAGCAGGGAATATTCTTGATAGGCCAAAGTCAGATAGTTTGGCTTGAAAGTTTTCATTCAACAAGATATTTGTAGATTTCACATCTCTGTGAATTATAGGTGGTGTACAACCATAGTGTAGATACTCCAATCCTACATTTCAAAATTTTGGTAAACATGTTATAAAAGATGAAAAAAGAAGAGACGCTATGAATGGTTTACGAAAATTTCTACTTGCTGACCATATGCTGCATCCATTGCAATTCGAAGTCTGTCTTCCCAACTCAATATATTTGAAGTGTTATCTGCATTTGTACATGATAAATAATCAATCTTTTTCCTCTGTTGTTCTAATTAAAGGAACTAAAATCATGTGGTAATATAAAAAAACCTTGCAGAGTAAGAAGTATCTATCCTGAAAGAGAAAATAAACTCCATTGATTGAGAGAGCAAATTCTGATGAAATTATTGATTGTTGCCAAACTTATAGTTGTTAAAAGCATGTCGACGTAGTTGTTTTATTGTTGATCTGTTTTCAGGTGGCCTACTGTTTATTTCCCTGTATGCTTTTTTATGCATGGTCAGATTGTTCTGATCGTTGTTGTAGCTGCTTTGAGGCATTGTTCTTTCTCTGTCACTAATTAACCTGATTCCAGAAAAGAAAAAGAAAAAAAAGAAAGATCAATTCCAGCCAATGAATCAAACCTGAAAGATGCTTGTGTAAGTTTCCATTGGCCATGTATTCATAGATGAGCCCTGTATTGGTTCCATCCTTGCAATATCCGACAAGGCTTGTCAAATTTCTGTGATGAACTCTCATGAGAAGATTAACCTGCAAGAAACCAAAAATTTTATTTAGAGCTTATGATTGAGCTCAAGCTTTTTGAACATTTATTACATTACATACCTCTGAATGAAATTCTTGATATCCTTGAATTGATGAAGGTGAAAGCACCTTCACAGCTACTTGAGTATCATCTATGTAGCCATGATAAACTGTTCCAAATCCACCTCTACCAACAATCCTCTCAAAATTATGGGTGATCTTGAGTACCTCAGAGTACGTAAATTGACGTTGTGATGGCTCCAGTGGCCCTTGCTGAATGCTTGGTGTTGAATCAGTTACGTCTGCTGAGATCATTAATCATTAAGAAATAACCGATGCTTGCTTCTTCTGTAATCAAATTTATTCTAGCATTGTTTAACAAGTATATGGTACCATGTTTTATTTTCCTTTTGAGGCGCCACAGTACAGCTGCTACAGTTAATATAAGGATTAAAATTCCTACAACTGACACTACTACTGGAACAACAAAATTGTCCTTCTTCTTCTTCTTCTTCTTATCCTTGCCGCAGGAAATCGGTGCAGTTAGATTTTGATTTTCACAAAAGCTGGAATTAAGATGAATGGTGGTAACATAAGTAAGACTTGACCTTAATGATCAGTGCAGTTACTAACGGAACATGAGCTACACTATTTTCTCTTTCATCAGAAGAATGCATATCTCATGATCATTTATTTTCTACAGAGATTTTTACAATGTTATTTAAGAGAAAATTGGTAGTGCTTATGTGTTAGTGTAAGGTCTACCAAAGTTTCAGGAATGAGTGGATATTGATGGTTTATGTTCACACACCTTAATGATAGCAAACCATCATTTGATTTTTGAATTAGTCCAGCTGGAACTGAACCTGTGAGCTTGTTTTTCTCCAAGTTTCTGAAAGGTAGAGCAACTAATTATACCGAAATACGTATAATGAAGTTATAAAAGAACAAGCAGTTGGTGCATCAGCTACAGATTCAAATAGCTTACAGGATTTTTAAGTTTGGTAATTGAGACACAAATTCTGGCACTGGTCCTGTCAAATTGTTGTTTGATAAATCCCTGAAATGGGAAATTACAATTTATTCAAATTTAATTTTTTAAAAAGAAATTTGGCTTCAATTAGTCACCCTTTTTATAAATCAGTAAATCATTTGACACAGAAACACACACTCACAGAGTCCGTAGCATTGTGAGATTGAATAAAGAAGGAGCTATTTCCCCAGTTAATCCACTAGAGGACAAGTTCCTGCATCGCATTTTAAACAGATTTATCAAGACATATAAGTGGGATGTAAATACAAAAAATTTAATAACAGGTAAGTTTATCTGAGTATGTCTACTTACAAGGATATGATTCTGGGGGGCTCATAACCATCATAGCTGCAGTTTAACCCTTCCCACGAGTACTCTTTCGGAGCACATGGATCACCTTGCCAATTTCTCTTCACTCCATAGGTTAACTTTAAGTTTGTGATGGGCTCAACTAATATTTTTCAGATGCATGAAGAAATCTCAACTAGGTCAATCATATATTTAGTGGCAGTAATGGGATAGACTTTTTCTAGAAATTGGAGATGATGTGTTTGAAAATTTTACATACCATCTTCTTGGTTAGTTTCTGCTTGCAATAACTCAAGGACCGTATAAATCTCAAAGGCATTGATGATAGGTGGAAGGGTAGAGTTTCCAACCTGAGAGATTGAAAAGTTTTGCTGTCCCCCACTCAAAGCCTCTTTTGTATACACAGTTGTTGTGGTTAAGTACTTAAGAGAAAAAGGTTTTGTAACGAAGGGCTTCCCATTCCAAGTAATGCTCAACCGTCTAGACTGGTTGGTTGGGAGTTTTTCAACTTCAGCAAAGTGCATGTACACATAATATTGGGTATTTTCATCAGGGGGAACCCACCAAATATCCAAAGTATGTTGAAATATAATCCTGTTCTGGCTGATTTTCTCCTGTTCTGGCTGATTTAATCCAGTTCTGCCTGATTCGTCCAGTTCTGGCTGACTGTTCAGTTCTGTCTGATTGTTCAGTTCTGGCTGATTTGTTAGAGCAGAAGTAATTTTCTATTTTTTGTTCTGTCTATTTTAAATGATGTAATGAGAACCATTAGATCATAGTCTACTTGGATTCTCTAGCTTAGATCTGGTATGACACGTGTAAGCAACTAATAGGGTGACAGTTGTAATTCTGTTAGAAGAGAATCACATTTCTCTCTACGTCAGTCACACTATGTAAGCGGCAGTTTTGTAAGAATTCAATAGAACAGTGCCTTCCTCATTTTCTCTTCATTCTCTCTAGCTGAAATCTCCAGAAAATACATCTCTTCCTAAATCGGAAGATACATATACAAACTAAGAATTCTAACATGGTATCGAGAGCCTGGTTCGATTGCTTGAGCTGGGCGTGAATCTGTGATTGAATCGGAGAAATTGGTTTTTTGTTTGAGCTAGAACTTGAGCTCATCTGAAGATCGCGATTTCTCAAATCCAATGTCTAATATGGCAGGATCGAGTACCTCTGAGCTGCGAACTCCAATTTTCAATGGAGAAAATTATGAGTTCTGGAGTATCAGAATGAAAACTATTCTGAAATCTCATGGTTTATGGGATCTGGTTGAGAATGGGTTAAGTGACCTAGATCTGAAGAAGGAGAAAGAGGAGGCTGTAGACACTGAGAAGTCTATGATGGTTCTGATGAAGGATGCTCGTGCACTTGGATTGATCCAAAGTGCAGTTTCAGATCAGTTGTTCCCCAGGATTGTGAATGAGGAGACCTCAAAGGGTGCCTGGGATATTCTGAAGCTGGAATTCAGAGGAGATAAACAGGTACGAAATGTCAAATTGCAAGGGCTACGTAGGGAATTTGAATATACCCGCATGAAGGATAGTGAATCTTTATCTGTATATCTGGTTAGGTTGTTTGATATAGTAAATCATATGAAGAGTTATGGTGAGGAACTATCTAGAGAGAGAATTGTCCAGAAACTATTGTTTAGTTTACCTAAATCTTATGATTCTATCTGCTCTGTAATTGAACACTCTAAGGACCTTGAAACACTTGAGGTTCAAGAGGTTGTTGCTTCACTGAAGAGCTTTGAGCTCAGATTGGATAGACACACTGAGAATTCTACAGAAAAGGCCTTCACTAGTCTGAATGTTGGTAGAAAAAACCTTGAAAATGGAATTGCTTCTGCAGATCAAATATCTCAGAAAAATTGGAAATCCAGAGATGGAAACAAAATGGCCTGCAAAAATTGTGACAGATTTCATTATGGAAAATGTTGGTATGAAGGAAAACCTAAATGCCATGGTTGTGGGAAGCCTGGACATATGATCAGAGATTGCTATGGACACAAGAATGTGCAGAGAGTGAATTATGCAAATCAGGAGGAAGATTGTGGCACTTTGTTTTATGTGTGTAATGCTGCAACTGATGTGAAGGTAAATCACTCTTGGTATATTGACAGTGGTTGTAGTAACCACATGACAGGAGATGAGGGACTTTTGGTCAATATTCAAAGGAATTTGAGCTCTAAGGTGAAGATGGGAACTGGAGAAGTGGTCCCAGTTGCTGGAAAAGGGA